TTTTGACACAACAATTAGTTGGAAAGCAACGCTTCATAAGGTTGTTGCCTTATTAACTACTGAAGCATAATATATTTCCCTCACTGAAGTTGTGAAAGAAGCATTGTGGCTTGAAGGTTTTTCAAAGAAGCTGAAACTTCAAGGTCGAAGTATCACTGTTAAATGTGAGAGTCAAAGTGCAATACACCTGTCAAAGAACTCAACTTATCATAAGCGAACCAAGCACATTGATGTGAGGTGGCACTTCATTAGAGAGATAATCGAGCATGGTAAAGTCCAGGTGCTAAAAGTTTTGACTTAAGACAATGCTGCTGATATGACCACCTAGACATTGTCAAGTTGCAAGTTTTTCCACTATATGCAGCTGATAAAGCTGCATGATGAAAGCTAGTTGATTCCCTGTTTGTTGAGTTAGATCCAAAGTGAAGATTTGTGAGATTTTAGGTTGAAACTAAGCACTGTCGAGGAATAGCTTTCATGTATTTCGACAAGAGACAAGCATGAAGTCGAAGATGGATCGCATGTTGTGGTCGAAGGATACATATTATATGTGAAGTCTGTTCTAATATGTATTTTCGAAATGTTTGTCGAATTGGGCCTTTTGTTATGGATCCAATTGTTTAGTTAGCTTAGGTTGAAAGTTATCTAGTTAGTCTATATATAGGCTAGAACACTCAGTTTATTGAGTGTGGTCAGATGTTAAGGGCTAAATAGTGCATACTTTTGATTATATTTTATGGCCCTTTCCAATGGTTTCCTTGGTATTTTAGTCGTAAATCTATTAGTTTTAGTGTAAATATGCAAGTTTTCGATTTTATTGTAAATATTGTGAATTATGATCATTTTGATGCTTTTTGACAGGTCTTCTTGCTTATATTTGATGATAGGAACCTATGGTGAAGGAAGGAAGATCTAAAAGTTTATTTTCAAGGCGATCGTGTCGGTAACCCGCGCTTAGCGCGCTTTTCAGCGCAAATCCAACGCGTTTCTCCTGGAGAGGCAGTAGCTAAAGCTTTCAACCGCGCTAAGCGGCCTACTACCGTTCTTAGCATGCTTTTTGGGATTTTTCCTCTATTTTTCTAATCGCACTTATCGTGCTCCTGATGGCGCTTAGCGCGGTGCCACTTACTGCACTTTTGGCACTTGCGATAAATATCTTCCTTGGAAGATATTTTCACCAACTCTTGTACTTTTAACTTTTCAGCATTTTTAGATAGAGAGAAAGGGTTTTTAGGTCAAAAATCTTACAAACTCAAGAAGAAGTGAGAATTAAATCTTTGGAGTACCAATCCTCGATTCTTCGACTTTGATACTAGCAAAGCTTTCCTTTTTACTTGTTGATCGAGCTACCATGGTGATGGGTAGCTAAACACGTTCGTGTCAAGATTAGAGGTAGTTAATCTTTCTATTATGTATTTCTTTTGATATTTTGTATGTGAACAAGGTTTATGATCAATAGACGATGAAGATATTTGCTTTTAATGTTGTACTTATTGTTTCAATCACTCTAGACATAGATTTTAGAAGTCTTGATCTAATTTTTTCATCTATTAATCAACAAACTCTAGGCATAGATTTGAAATTTAATATTTTCTTTGTATCAATCTTTATGTTTATTGTTTCAATTTTTATTTCGAGAAATCATCTAGCGATTAAAACAATAGTACCCATGTAGCCACTTTAGAAATAAATGGATTTGTGAGGAAAGGGGTTAATGAGATCTAATCTTGACATGCTTTTCTTAAAACAAAACTTCCATTTTATATTTTAATCTTTGCTACAAAACAAGAACTCTTTGAAAACCTTTCTCTTAGAATGTTAAACTATTGAACGACGAGAATCTATACATCTGATAACATAATTCCTGTGGATACGATAAAACAACCCACCGAAAATACTTTTCAACATCAGATTATGTTATTCACTTGTAATCTTTTGTAATATTGAGAAAGTGAATAATATAGCAATTTTCCCTAATCCTTCTTCTTCTTTGTTCTTTATCTTTTCTTCGTTCTCTCTTTGTTCTAACCGTTTTCATTGTTCACCCAAGAACTTCGTTTCTCAATCTTGATTTGTTGAAAGGTATCATTTATGATCACAACAATATCCTTCTTTGTAAACTCAACAACATTATATCCACCCTTATGAGCAACCATATATCATATTATATGACAAGTTCTAATTCCATGTGACTGAAGATCATCAATCTGAGCTGTATCTGCTTCAGAAATTTCACGATAATTGGAGTGTAAATGCAGAAACCTAGATGAGGTTAATTTTTGGTTATGAGCCTCTTCAAAACTGACACCACATATTTATCCTTGTTGGGTTTGTAGTGCACACGAAGCCTACCCGGACATTTAGTACAGGTCAAAGGTTTGTGATATCTTTTCCTATCAACCCTACATAAGTGTTTCTTCTCGCTTAAACCATGTTTATTGCATACAAACTGCCTCATTATTGTTATTTTACTAACCTCAAGCCATCTTGTCCTAACATCACTTTTCCTAATGGAAAAACCATTAAATTTACCATACCGATAATAAAATTCATAAGCTTCATAAACAATACAAAAATTCCATAAAATCAATTTCATCAGCAATAATGGAATTAATATACAATTGCATCAACTTCAACCATATCATCATTGTGAATATTATCAGCGCCATCACCATCATCTGAGCTTTGATATCCACTAGATGTCGAATAATCGTCATCCTGAGCAACATTCGAGTCAACATCATATGTATCACTATCACAACAACGAACGTCGTAGTTTTTCATAATAAACCTGAATTAGCACAATTTTTAACACAACAAAACTCAATATCAATCAAAATACCTAATTTTCTAATTAAATCAAAGGTATCTAACAAAATTGAAAATTTGAAATAATCAAATATGAAACTCATGTATATAAAACAAATTCAAGCATAAACCCTACTTCACAAATTTAAATCAAATTAAACACCAAAGCTCAATTAACACAATTTTTAATACAACAAAACTCAACATCAATCACAATACCTAATTTCCTAATTAAATCAAAGGTACCTAACAAAATTGAAAATTCGAAATAATCAAATTTAAAATTCATGCATAAAACAAATTCAAGCATAAACCATAATTCCCAATTTAAAATCGAATTTAACACCCCCAATTATACTTTATTTGAAAACATAAAATTTTAATAATTAATTTCAAATAAATATAACAAACATTTTCCCATTTACGTTAGCAACAATGTTCTCAATACGAACATAAGCAGATTTTTTTTGTGTTGTGTTTGATGAGCGACTGAGTGGAGAACTTTAAACGAAAAGCAAACGTCAGTTTGTCAAACAATGACGGACAAACACGATGAATGTTATGTTGATGTTCATGTGTAGTGTTGGGAAAGAATACAAAATGACAAATGAACATAATGAATAACTTGAGTTTGTTCAAAAATCGCGGGCGAATACGAAATTAGGATTTCAAGTGGAATAAGCAAGATGAATATGACATTGATGTTGGTCTGAAGTTGTCTTAATTGATTTTCGTAATAACAATTAAAATTTAAAAAGAATATAAAAATTAGGGTAATTTTATCACTTTTAATAGGTTAGAGACTTAATTGCAATATTCATTACTATAAGGTTACATAATAAATTAAATATAGTCCTACGTGGCATTTTAGGATTTTAAGATACATTTCTGATTGGTTAGAATGTCACTTCTTCAAAAGAAGTCATTTTAATGACTTCACCTTAAAAAATTTCTTCTAATATATTCAATTTGAGTCAACTAAATATTTTTTTATACTAGTAAAAAATACATTATAATATAAATTACATCTATAAAATTTCATATTAACATAAAATCATTTTATATGTACATAAAATAAACCAGTGTTATATGTAAAAAAAATATCAATCTTATATTTTTCTGTTAGAATATTTTATAATTTAAATAATATTTAATATTATACTTCAATAATTATTTTGTGAGCATATATATTTTAATTATATTAATTATTTATTAAATTAAGAATCTTAATTAATTAAATGATCAAATAAATTTAAAAAACTATTTAAATTTTTATTTAGTAATTAATTAATTGAATATGTGTTCAAATATTAATTGATGTTAGGATGGTTCATTTCGAAATAATGAAAATCATAATTGATCGCCATCTTATATAAAGATTATGGTCCTCAATATATCGTATAGAAACATTTATCTCTTCTCTTCTCTTCATCTGAAGAATATTCAAGTCATTAGAAGTACCGGTCGAGGAATAACCATACAAACCACAAAGTGTTCGTTGTTTGTTTTATAGATTTTAAGATTACCGCAAACAAAAACTTTCTCAATAAATTCATTTAGTCCTTCAATCTCTTCTCTCATATACTTACATGTCGTATTATCTATTTTATTTCGCACTAAAATATATGACATAATCTGTAAAATATATATTTATAATTAATTGTTATTGACTTAATTCTAATTTTTTCAATAATTTTTTACACCCTATATATACACATTCTTTAAGACTTGTGGTTGAAGCACAACTTATGCTGATACAGAGGAATGCATTTTGATAGTTGACGTGACATGTAGCACTTTGCCATGAATCTATACTCAAAACCTTTTTCCAGTTAAGCAAGTCCAGATTCTTTGTTTTAGCTACAAACATGTGTAACACATTTAACAATATGTAACAAACTTCTAGATGCTCTCAGGATATTGCAGAAGCATATCCATATGTTAGAAAGATATTACAACATTATTGACCAAAATGCATTCTCTTCAATTACTAAGGAAATAGCTATAACCGCTTATATAAGATCCAAAACGAATAATGACCAAATTCAGGTTCAAATCACATTATCTTAACTTCAAGAAGAAGCAGGGCATTAGATTCTCTCATTTGCATATTTATATTGCTGGCTAGTTACTTCCTTGATAACAATAAATTAAATAACAATAGCAATTAAAGAATAAGCTAGAAATTCAAGATGTCAAGTCGTTTGATTCAAAACCTAACCAAACTTCTTGAGGCTGAAGAAGTAGCAGAAAGGTCGAACTTCTTCAACCATGGAACTTCAAACTCGTTTTACAACCATGGCAACCGTGGCCAATATTTCTCTGCTGCAAATAACCGTACCTCGAACAATTACGGTGGTCGCACTATTAATAACAGTGGCACTATTAATGGTAATGGAAATGGTGGATTTATAGATGGTAACTTTGATGCGTCAACAATAAACTACAACTATAAATAAGTATGTGTATTTTGATTATATATGGTTGTGATAAGGAACTTGATCTACAATGTCATGTTCTATACTATTAATCAATAATGGTTTGTCTAATATACTGAATTTATAACATGAGATGAAGTTAAGAATATGAGACCTTTATCGTTCCTTGCAAGAAATTCATTTGTTTACTTATTACCCTTCAAATTCTATTATAAATTAATCCAATGATATTTGTAGTACTCTTAAACTTACTCCAAAAACACTATAAGACAATAATGAAAATTCGTCCCTTAAAGATAGAAAATATAAATATATATATATATATATATATATATATATATATATATATATATATATATATATATATATATATATATATATATATATATATATATATATATATATATATATATATATATATATATATATATATATATATGAGATCAACTTATTCCAAAAACACTACTATAAGGCAACAATGAAAATTCGCCCCTTAAAGATAGAAAACTGTTTTATAAAATTTTAGGAGACGGTTTATTTGGCATGGAATAAACATACATAACCTATTCCTTTAGAGTGCGTTTTTTTTTTACTCACAGATTCTGAAAAGCGTCGCATTAAATATTAAAAGTCCATTGTTTTAGTTGAAGTTTTAAGAGTTTTCAAGTATCAACATAAAATAACCGTCCCCAAAACATGTGAAAAAGGCAACGACTAAGCTTATGATAATAAAGAGATGGAGGATACTATGATCTGCTTATGATAATAAAGAGTGGCCAAGTTATGATAACAAAGAGATGTTAGATCCCACATAGACCAACTACTAAGTACTATTATCTATTGTTTCCAGATGCAGAGAAACGGTACCGGCTGATTGGACTGGTGTGCAAGTCAAGCATACCGTTCACTTTAACACACCAATACACTAACTATTTTCCTAACTCTTTTTCGATTTCTAACAATTGTTTCAATCACCTCTAATCTCCAAATAATTAACATAACAATTCAAACAATCCAAACTAACGTCAACTAGTTTCTAAGTCCAATTAACTTACTAAGTGTCACTAACATCAACAAAACATCATCTAGAAAGCCTCACTGAAAATTCAAACAAAATTCACACGCATATAGGCAGAGTATATACACGCATCAACATGACATTCACACTGAAAATCACAAGCAGAAGTCATATGCAGAAAAAATCACAAAGATATCACGCAAAGAAATCACAAAGATATCTCTAACTTAATGACCCACCAAAATAACACAGGGCTACAAATTATAATCAAATTATTACCTTTTTACCAGGATGAACCGAAAACTCATACACCGCTGAAAACTCGCACACTGCTGAAAACTCGCGCACTATTACGTTTGAAAATTGAGACCTATGAAAACAAAATCGTTAGATTTGTCGGTAGAGAATAGAGAAAGTTGAAGGAGAACATTTGCACTCACACAAGTTGAATGAGAAGCTCATATAATGTCAGATGGGCATAAATAGTTGTAACTTCAGTCTGTAGGGTCTGAACTTCTCCTGATACTTCGGATCTCCGGTACTTAAGATAGAACAATGAATTCTAGTTGTTCTGTGACATAATCAACCAAAATAATCTCAAAACAAAGTCAAGACACACAACATTTGCATAAAAACTTGCACTTTGCACAACCATAACAGAACAAATACTCAAACTTTACATTAAATTCATTTTATTCTTTGAACCCCTACAACACAACCATAACAGAACCAATACTCAAACCATAATATGTTTCATTCATAACAGTACTTATTAATTTATATGTTAACTTACTACCAGTAACAGTTCAATACAGTTCAATACTTACTAAACAATATTTATTAGCATAACTTATTAATTACCATTTACTGTGATGGGCTAACTACCAGTACCATTTACTAAATAGTACTTATACAGCATAACTTATTAATATGTTAGCTAATTTCACCAGTTCAATACTATCTACCAGTTCCTAACTCTTTTCCAATTTCTAACAAGTTCTAACAATTAGCAACTAGATTTACTAACAGCATAACAGTTCTACCAGTTCTACTACCAGTTCTACATCCTGATATTCAACAGATATACAAAACCCTTAGTTATGGAACTGCTTGTCAAAACGAGTGAATCATGGTTTTCTTTTCTCCTGATTCCACAACTTTTATTTGTGAAGTTTCTACCCTTCTACCTTGTCTCAAAGAGCTACTCTGGACAACATTTTCAACTGTAGTCTGACATTAGAACAGTTCTAAATTTCCTATGTAGGGTATATCATGTTTGATGAGTTCAATAAATAATAAATAGTCTTGGAAGGAAACACTCTTCCTTTTGAAGCTGTTATATGATTGGATAGTAGAACTATCCCCATTTTGTTTCCCTACATAGCTACTGGATTGTGTGGCATGTATGGCTGGTCTGTTATTCAATCTGGAGATGGTTGGATCCTATATCTGAAATTTTAGGGTCTACCTTGTCTTGGTCTGGTCTATGGCCTTGCCTATCTGTTATTTATCTGTAGAGTACTCAGACATGAAACAGCTGAAAGGTTGAATAAATTGAATAGAGGAAGCATGAAAAGATTGCAGTTAAGATGTAGTTTCAATTTCAAGTTGTTCATAGAATTACTTATACTGCTCATTGTTTTATAAATTCCATAACAATTCAAAGAAAAAAAGGACAATACAACCAGACATTACTCAAACCAGACTTCAATTAACAAAGCATGAGAAAAAAGTGTTTGCAACAAATAAACAAAACTTTTCTAGTTCCAAGGTCAACCACATAAGTCATGATTGTTTTATCAGCTGAAGACAAACCAACTGATTAACAGACACAGAATCAACAAAATATAAATTAAGCTACAGAAACTAATTAACATCATGCTTAAAATAACTGATTAAGCATTTTGCATCCTGAGTGCAAAAGCATTAAGAACCTCTTGATACTGAAACACAAAATTATCAGCATGATTCACCATGGTCTGTTCATTTCCAAAAGGGGCAGACTGAAAAGTGTTGTTAAACCCATTATTAAAATTCTCAAACTGTTGCATATTGAAATCATTTTGATCAAATCCACCACCTAAATAATCGTTCTTTTGAAGACCCTTTTTAATCTCAAGCGTGTGATCATAGACAGGTGCAGCACTTTTCATATTTCCATCCCTATTATCAGGTTTATTAATACAAACTTCCCATATTTCCAAGTTCCATCCCTATTTAACATACACTAAGCTTTTTCTGTGAAACCGACTTCAAAATAATTAAGGTTTGTGTTCTTGTTACAATGGAGGATCAGGGTAAGGCTATCTTTACCGGTATAGAAGGGAAAAAACCTCCTAAGGCTAAGGGTGGTTCTTGTGAATTGATTCTTAGACTTTTGGCCTTTGTTCTCACCCTTGCTGCTGCTATAGTTATTGGGATCGACAAGCAAACCAAAATTGTTCCTATCAAGATTGTTGACTCTTTGCCTCCTTTCAATGTTCCTGTTTCTGCTAAATGGCATTACCTCTCAGCTTTTGTGTAAGTTCTTATTATTCTCTTCCTTAGATTTTGGTAAGAACCTGTTAACAATCTCTTTCAATAATCCAGAATCAGAAGACTCTTTAGGAAAAAACTCATTATCTTCATCAGCAGAAACTTTTGAACCATTATTCTAGAGGGTACAGATGCAGAGAAGCGGCACCAACACCGGACAGATGCAGAGAAGCACTAGATAATTTGAGTTAATTAACTATCTCTAACTCAATGACCCACCAAAATAACACAGGGTTACGAATTATAATCAAATTATTACTTTTTACCAGGATGAACCAAAAACGCGCACACCGCTGAAAACTCTCACACCGCTGAAAACTCGCGCACTATTACGTTTGAAAATTGAGACCTATGAAAACAAAACCGTTAGATTTGTCGGCAGAAAATAGAGAAAGTTGAAGGAGAACATTTACACACACAAGTTTGGGATGAATGTTAGGGTTTGAGAGAATCGTACCATGAAGAATCAATATGGAATGAAGAACAAAATGTTAGAGTTTGGGAGAAGCTCGATGAAGAATCAATTTGGGATGAATATTAGGGTTAAGGAGAAGCTCGTATGTTTGAGAGAATCGTTCGATGAAGCTCGTATTTGGGAGGGACAATGAATCGTTTGAGAGAAGCTCGTGGAGGGAACTGAAAATTTTACTCAAATTTGGGAGGTTTGGGAGGGAGAATGAAAGGTGAGAACGGTGGAGGGAACTGAAAATTTTACTCGTGGAGGGAGACTGAAAATTTTGTTAGTAATAATATTTTATTAAAATAATTAAAAATTATATAAGAACGGCTCTAGCCATTGCTAATAGGAGCCGTTCTCATTGCCCTCTACCAGAACAGTTTCGGGTCGTTCTATAAAATTTACAAAAAATTAAATATGCTACAACAACAAATTATATAGTTAGTTGACTATTACTCTCTACGAGAACAATTTTTTTACTTCCTAAAAATTAGGCGTTGCTATAGAATAAAAATGTTGTAAAAGTCAAATTAGTGAATGAATAAAAAAAAACTACACCATGCTCGTCTTACTACCAATAGGATCATACTACCAATAATGTAACTGACATGGTTTTAAATAGCGGACTGCGGCCACAATATAGCGGTTGCAGTGTCTGCATCTGCATCAGACCACAATTGCGATGTGATTGTAAATCACATTAAAAACCGTATCATAACGCCACAACGGTCGCATCATAATACTGCAACGATTGTATTTGTTCGCATCAGACTGCACGAGTCCGCAACAATAGATAACATGTGAAACCTAATACATATAATAAAGTATATTATTTTATGTAGATAAAAATAAATTCACGCCGCAACGACCGCAATCCGCATCGCAACAGTCACAATAGCTGCAACCGCAACCGCAACCGCATCCGCAATTTAAAACCATGATAACTGGTGTATTTTCTTAAGGATACATCTTTTTACGTGCGAGGATATGCTCATCTTGAAGTTTTGTGGACGGTGGAGTTCGGTGTAGCGAACAAAACTATACCAAGCTAATGCTCTACTTTTACTACAGAAAGGGAGATGCCATATCTCTAGGAATTTATTTATTGCATTTTCCACTTCAAAAACTAAGATAACATTCATTCTAAATACATAAATGTAACAGTCACCTCAAATATCTTCCACCTTACGAAAATCTACAATTTTTAAAGATAGAATTGTTTAGGGAACCTCTAGTGTATCCATTTGAATTAATAAGACCTTTGTTCGAACTAGAAGCATGATTAACAAATTGGCCTGCAGTGTCATTGTTCTTAAAGGATGAACTAGACTTTGCTTCAGGAGACCATATACCAGTCCGACAGGTTTCAGCTATAACTCGACGCAAATCATCACTTGGGTCTTTGAATGGACCTTTCACTTCAACAGCAAAACCTTTTCCTTTACAAAGGTAAATTTTTGCCGCAACGGAAAGACCAACCTCTTTAGTAACATAATAGTGTGCCATAGTTGCCATGTAAGCATTGTCATGGTTCTTTCTTTTCTTCATTTGTAAAACAAAAAGAGTGTCACTGTATGAATTACCAAACGAAACAATAGTGGACTCTATTGAATAACCTTGTTTGACACATATAGAAGTTTTATATATCCCACTGTTATTCATACCGTTAATTTGTTTCTGAAGACCATCATTTCCAACCCTTTTGATATCCAAATTAAACCCATCTGTGCTATCGTCATTAGCTGATAGTGCAAAATATATATTCTCAACACCATTGTCGTCGTGTTTTGCTCGCAATTGAAAACCACAACCTTGCTTTGATCCCTTATTTAATTCGAAAGGCATGCCCCAAATATCTTTGTGATCGTGAAAACCATGCCTTGATTTTTTACCTATATAGTAAGACACACCCCAAATTTTTGTGTGATCTTCTTCCTCTTCATCAGCGCACATGGAAACTTCAATGGGTCCCCATCGAGCAGTGGTACCTGTGGTGCTGGAGCAAAAATCAGGACAATTAATTCCAAGGTTGGTATTGCAACTACTATAACCAATTCCCATTGTTAGTATCTAACTAAAATGTTTGGGTTTGTGAAATTGAGTGTTTTGGTTTGTTTTCAGTTCCCATCACATTATACAATTATATAATCAGAGTAGAGATTATGTAGAATCTCTTTTTGTTATGTGTAGTGGATGTGGTATATTGCATAATTGATTGAGGAATTGGATGCCGAAATTCACAATGTTAAATTAAAATATACTTTATACTGTCATTTTCTTAAGAAAATGAAAACCAAATCCTCAAAATCATTGAAAATACATTTAATGGAATTCTTTTTAAAAAAAAGGATCAGAGATGATATATTATGGGATTTTTGTTTATATTTAAAATAAATAAAAAAAGAATTTTGATGTTTTAGTTATATTTGTGTGTAAGGTTTTTTTTTTTTTTAAATATTTCATAGATAAATTTTTTTGATGTTCTAAATGAACGGTTCTATATATATATATATATATATATATATATATATATATATATATATATATATATATATATATATATATATATATATATATATATATATATATATATATATATATATATATATATATATATATATATATATATATATATATATATATATATATATATATATATATATATATATATATATATATATATATATATATATATATATATATATATATATATAGAAAAGAAATTAGATGTTGTGGAAATTCTATTTTGCCTTTTTCTTTAAATCTGCCACCTAATTAAAATGAGGATAACTTTGGTCTAAAAGTTACTTTTTACGACTAATAATGTTGCATTGTTCAATTTCAACTACATGTTTATTGTATTATGCTTTTACTTGCTAGGTTTGATCAATAAGTGATGTCAATAAGCTCTCAACTTTTTGCATACTTTTTTATAAGTGTTTGTATTTCATTAATGTAAAATCTTCTTGTGTAAAAGTAACTTCTAACACATAAATCTTTATTCAAACTTGTTTGTTTGTGATTCTTTAAGGAGACTAAGTTGTGGTCGGATCCTTGAGAAGACAAAAAAAAGTTGTCCTTTGTGATTTTGTAATCAGTTTGATAATAGGGGATTAAGTCCTTATGTATAAGGCGAAATCACATTGGCGGGTGGGATGGAGTAGCTATGATTTCGAGCGAACCAGGATAAAAATCCTTGTGTCTTTCTCTCTTTGATGTTTTGATTATGTTGAGTTTTTGAGTTGGTAAAAAGATTTTGTTTTTCAAAACCTAATTCAAACTCCCCTTTCTTGTGTTTTTCGCACCTTTAATTGGCATCAGAGCTTCGGTTCTGATTGTGATAAAGTTTTATCAACATTTCACCGTGTTCAGTATTGATCCAGATTATGTGTGTGAGAAACAATGGTTGTTGCTCCTCTCGCTGTAACAACAACGAGAAAGATCACTACAGCGCTAAGCCACCAATCTTTGATGATGAAAAGTTTGATTATTGGAAAGACAGCGAGAAATATTGTAACACCCCCTTTCTATACCCCAAATAAATTAGATAAATCAATTAGACACATAGAAAATTTATTTCATCAGAGTTTGATTAAAACATGGTATATAAGAGGCGCATCACACTATCATGAAATTAAACACATACGATACCTGCTCAAAATAGATATGCAACAATGGGTAACCCACATCTCAATATTTAGAATAAAAGCGGAAACATCCAAATATTGAATCAATCACATTCATAAAGGTATATACAACCATCAGTTAATTCATGCTTTACAACATATCCACAGCAGATACATACACATATGTATCACAAAAGAATCAAAACAAATGTAACTCCAAAAGAGTCAAAGGCTTCCTAACTACCCAGATGTTACATATCAGAGCCATTGACCAAAAAGAATGAAGACATCGCTTCACAAAAAGAACCTCCAGCTTCCTACTCTGCAATGCCTCATAGAGCATTAGAAAACAGCAGAAGGGTGAGAAACAACATCATAACAGTTAATGCATAAAATTGTATATATACATAACTCCATAATTATACAAGTTATACTCAAATTATGTTCTCACCACATTAAGCATATACAAATAATCATGTCTCTACACATACACATGAACATTCACTATATTTTCTCCAAACAGTCACATAAAACATACACAGTTATATTCACACAACCAATGCATCATACACAGATGACTCATGCAACTCATAGAGACCGACACACGACTCTATGCAGATGCAAATGCGGTACCGACTCATTCAACAAATTCCCTAAGGAATCGAGTATTCAGCAGATCCTCCACGGGATCAAGTACTCAGCAGATTCTCCACGGAATCAAATATTCATCAGATTCTCCACGGAATCGAATATTCAGCAGATCCTCCACGGGATCAAGTACTCAGCAGATTCTCCACGGAATCAAATACTCTAACCAATCCTCCACGGGATTACATGTTATGACCGATTCTCCGAGGAATCACACAATGCAACCGATTCTCCAAGGAATCACTCAATGCAACCGATTCTCCACGGAATCGAATATAACCATCGTATCATACGAGGTTCTACAAATCCTCCACGGGATCAATCACAAAATGCATACTATGTTCACAAACGTACTCATTGCATTTATCACATACATCACATATATTCATTATGCATTCACATTATACACCATTTCACACAAGGTTTACATACCTATTAATCCATCAATGCATTTCTATCTAATTCGAGCAAACGCACAACATTATCAAACGATTAAGATTCACAATCGGCTCCACAATCTAGGATTCACGCCTTTCGGCCACCCACAGCACAACATGTTGAAACAGTTCACACATCAATCATTCATATATGCATTAATCATAATTGAATCAACCAAACATCATGCCATGAACAAAAGCAAAACAAATAACACTGCCAGGTTCGCCAACCTTCGCCTGGCGAAGCCACGCAGCGAATGCTCGCTGGCCTTCGCCTGGAGAACTCCCCAGCGAAGTCCACTGGGAGTAATTCTGGAATTACTCGCTGAGGCTCGCTACCCACTCGCCTGGCGAACCTTCGCCAACTCACCTCGCCTGGCGAACTTGCCAGCGAATACAGGGTATTAGCTTCTGACTTGCTTCGCTACAGCTCGCTGGGCTTCGCCTGGCGAAGCTTCGCTGCCTTTCGCCTGGCGAACTTGCGAAGACAGAACTTCCATGGCTGTCTCAAAGCCCAAACTCCACACAACCAACCGATTAAATCCAAACCAGTCACAGTAGCACAACCCAACCATCACCCGACTAAACTACATCGTCTAATCCGATTTCTAACCGATTAAAACCTCATTCTACTCACAAAACCAACTTCTAACCTAAGTGGAAAAAGAGTAGAAACTCTACAAAATCCACACACATACACATACAATCATACACATTAAAGAGATGATGTAGTTTCACACCCTTACCGATCGATTGCAAGCTTTGGTAATGACTCCTTGATGATTCTAGGTTTTCCTCTCCACTTTCTCTTCTCTTTCTCTTCTCCTCTTTTCTTTCTCTTGTTTTTCTTCTTATGTTACTATCTTCTTCCTTTTTCCTCTCTTATTCTATTTCTATCTCTATTTCTTTCCTCTCGAATTCTTTCCAACACTTATCAATCAATTCTTACACTAAAGTGCTAAATGTCTAAAATGCCCTTTTTACTCTAATTCCCCGAAAACTCTCTGAATCGGTAAAAATAGATAAAATAAGCAAAACACCACATAGCAATATATAATTTCTCAATTTAAAATAAACATCAATTAAATAAATTAAAAGACTCAACAATTAATGGGAATTCAGAATCGGGGCGTTACAACTCTCCCCCACTTTAGAAATTTTCGTCCTCGAAAATATCACCTGATTCAAACAACTCTGGATGCGATTCTCGCATCTTGCTCTCCAATTCCCAAGTCATGTTGCCTTCCGCGGCACCTCCCCAGGACACTTTCACAAGCGCAATATCCTTGCCTCTTAGTTTCTTAACTTCACGGTCCAAAATACTAACCGGTAAAACTTCAACTGTAAGGTTATCTCTTACTTCAACTTCATCCATTGGGATCACATGTGACGGATCCGGAACATACTTCCGAAGTTGCGAGACATGGAATACATCATGCAAATTCGAAAGGTTCGGAGGCAACGCCACACGATACGCCACAGCACCAACCCGTGCGACAATCTGATACGGACCAATAAAACGAGAAGTCAACTTTCTCGACTTCAAGGCACGACCCACACCCGTAACTGGTGTAACTCTCAAAAACACATGGTCTCCCTCTTGAAACTCGAGATCCTTTCTCCTTTTATCATGATAACTTTTCTGTCTATTCTGAGAAGCTCTCATCTTTTCCCGAATAAATTTCACCTTTTCCGTCGTTTGCTGTACCATTTCAGGACCAACTACCGACCTTTCACCCGTCTCATGCCAACACAGAGGTGTTCGACATCTCCGTCCATATAAAGCCTCAAATGGCGCCATACCGATACTCGAATGGAAACTGTTATTATAGGTGAACTCAATCAACGCTAAATAACCGTCCCACGCACCACCTTGTTCAAGCACACAAGCACGCAACAGATCTTCTAACGATTGAATCGTCCTCTCGGTTTGACCATCCGTTTGCGGATGATATGCCGAACTCAATCTCAACTTAGAACCCAAGGCACCTTGCAAACTCTCCCAAAATCTTGAAGTAAATCTAGGATCTCTATCCGACACAATACTCTTGGGAACTCCATGAAGCTTCACAATAGTGCCAACATAAATCTCGGCTAACCTTTCCAAAGAATAAGTAATATCAATCGGAATAAAGTGAGCCGATTTAGTAAGCCTATCAACAATCACCCAAATAGCATTATGTCCTCTTTGCGTATTCGGCAATCCCGTAACAAAATCCATCGATATACTATCCCATTTCCATTCCGGAATATCCAACGGTTGCATCAATCCACTAGGCTTCTGATGCTCCACCTTAGACTTCTGACAAGTCAAACACGAGTACACAAAACGAGCAACATCGCTTTTCAA